GGGGTGGTAGCCATGTGCCAGATTAAGGGGCTTTGGCTCAAGGAGCCAAGCAGGCAGGGAAAGGGCAAATAGCTGCCCAGGGAACTCTGGAGGGGCAAATCTTGAGTGGACCTGTGCAAGCCAGGTGACCTCCCTGAGCCCCAGTTTCCCTCTGCACCAGCCCACAGGGACCTTCCCAGCTTTGCAGACTTATTCTGTGTTGCTGTCATCTTATGGTTCTAACAAGCAAAGAGACTCCAGAGGAAGATAGGGAGTTTCTCTAATGCCCGCTCTCTTATCCTGTCTGGCTTTGCTGTGCAGTGTTCTGGAAGGCTTTCGAGAGGTCCAGGTCCCGGGGAGCTCTGATCATAGGGGAGCTTGGGTTGACATGCTCTTCTTTACCTTGAAGCCCTTTCTTTTGTGCAGTCCCATCCAGGGCAGGCCAGCATCATGAACCTGAGCCTGGGTGTGGATGTGACCCAACTCTGAGGGGGGTGGAATTGGTGGAATGAGTGGTATCAACATGGCCAGAGGCATCAGCTCCTCCAGGGCCATGGGGGAGTCAGGGGGTAGTTCATCGGTATCCAAGTTGGCATCACTCCAGCCTTCAGAGCTTTCACTGTGGTCCTCTGGATTTGTGACATCGTCCTCAGACAGGGTGACCATCTCTGACATGTCATCCCTAGGGTTGCTAACTAAGTCCCCTGACTCTTGGTCAATGGCTTCCTCAAACCCGTTGGCTCTATGGGAATCTGTCATACTCTCCAGCTTCCTCTTAGAGCTTACCACAGAAGCAATACAGGGCTCTGCCACAGGCCCAGCAGGTATCTTGGCTCTGCCCTGGCCAGTCCAGAAAAGCATAAGCTCTCGGCGGCAGGCAGCCACAGCAAGGCTGGTAAGCAGGGTACTGGACACTAAGTACAACAGAGCAGGCTGTCCCATCTCCATGAGGACCATGGCAACGAAGGTGACCAGCAGGCCTACAGCATAGGCCATTGTACAGGCCATATAGTAGACCTGGTGAGAGTGGATTTGCACATCAAAGCGATGACAGTAGGCCACCAGGAAGCCAGGGACAACAATGTCACCAAAGCCAAGTATGGAGAAAGGTTGGTCACACAATGTCAAGGCTGAGAATCTCAACCGGGGCACTTTGAGCACCATGGGTAGTTTCTCATGGCTTAAAGAATCTGCTGGGCCTGATGCCACTTCCACCATGATGCTCTCACCAGTCTTGGTGAATAGGGGTGTGACAAAGACAAAGAAAACATCGAAGGCCAGCAGGGCCAGCAGGAATGAGGTGCAGTTCTTGAGCGTGGGCAGCCGCACCCGCCTCAGGACAAAAAGGCAGTAGGCAACACCCAAGGTGTCCTGCAGGAGCCATGCCCAGCGGTCCTCATTGCGGTAGACGACCCAGAGGAGAGTCACCATGACGCACAGGCCTGCCAGCAGTAGTAATGGCAGCTTCATATAAGTCCGGCGTCCAGGCAGTGCCCATTCATATTGCCATAGGGACAGGTGGCGCACTATGGGTGCCAGGCAGCTGTAGAGCCCGGTACTGGCGCCCAAACTGAAGATTCCAATCATGACGTAGACAAAACAGTCATAGAAGAAGTAGAGCAGAATCATGATGGAGCAGGACATGGTGACCACAGCACACGTCATGGCTGGTGTGAAATCCACAGGCGCATCCTCTTCATCTTCATCTTCCCGGGCCCTCTGGAACCTTTCAGCTGCCGTTGCTTGTAGAGGATTGTGATCACCAAGCCCCCCTCCTCTTTGGGCCCGGCGCCTCTGCAGCCGGTCTGCCTCCATCAGGCCAGCCCAGTAGCCACCTACAGCAACAGTGCCCACAGCCAGTATGAAGATAACCACCATGTTATAGTCAATAATGGGCTCTAGGGGTGCATACAGGGCTATGCGGATATTGGTGTCACCGTGAGTGTGACTGAGGATGTCCAACATGTCGGTGTAGCGGAGCACAGCCACTGGGATAGTGAGGGCAGGCCGGGGCTTGCTGGGGTCCTGGGACTTGGAGATGGTGTCTGAACACTGTTGATCGTTGGCCCGGCTCACAATGACCAGCCCGTGGGCGCCTTGGCCCTGAGCCAGCCAGCCCTTGGCATAGAAGCTGCAGTTGCCACGCATCACCACGGTGGTAGTCTGGTGGAGGGGTCGCTGTCTGGGGGAGCTGTCCTGGGCCTGGTGGAAGGGGTCCTCATCTGGACACCATGGTGTCTTGGTGCCGTCATGCAGAGGCAGGAGCGGGGCACGGTGCAGGTCCCGGGGGAGGGTGACGTAGTCGGAGCTGTACAGGACACAGTAGTCCTTGCTCCAGTTCTTTGACACGACGCGAACCACGCCGTATTCTCCCCGGGCCTCAGGGCTGAGGAGGAGGAGGAGGAGGAGCGAGCCCACGGGGAGGAGGGAACCCAGGCACACCATCCTCCTCAGCCACCTACTGTGTCCTCCCAAAGGGGGACAGCTGCCCACAGCTCTATTCTCCTCCCAGAGGGAGGGCGTGGCTCTTAGTCACAGAGTAGCTTGGCCACTTGTCTTGGATACCAGAGCCACACCTACCTTGTCATAAAGTGATGAAGGGTACTGCTATGGGACACAGGACCCTTTCGGGATCATGCTCCCAACCCTAAATCTGAGAGCTCATCTCGGCCCAGGCCCCAGTAAGATTAAACCTCTTTCCGCCGGGATAGCCTAGCCTTGGCAGTCCAGGTCACTTCTCCTCTTTGGACTTGTTTCTTTGTTGCTAGG